GCTTTTTATGTAAAAAGCAACGTCTTAGTACTTGGCGTTTCTTTCATAGAAACTGCCATTTGATTGTGATGAAGATGAGCTCTATAACTTTTTTCCCTGTTTTTTTTTTTTTGGGTGTAAAATTATTTCATTTCTTACTGCACAAACTAATGATTTTTCTCTTCATAATTAGACATGCGGTACATGTTTTAGCATGAGTACTATAATCGTCAAATTTAGAATTTTTTATATAAATACATATACAAGCGATATTAGGGGAGGGAAAAATCAAATCTAGGACAGATTCTAGGTAAATGTCCTTAACTGCTTGAGCTACAAATCCTTGGCTTACAAATTTAGATTTCATCGCTATAAAGTTGGTTCTGAATTCGGTCTTGCCCTTAAAAGTCACTTGAAGTAGATACAAGCCAGTAGTTCTACACTAGACTAAAGTCTAGTCCGTTCGTTGTTTGGTACAAGTATGAGGTGGACTGGTTAGGATTGGGTTTAGAGTTTTGGACTAGTTTGGCTTGGATTGGACTGGACTTTAATAAGTTATTTGTTACATTAAGTTGGGCTAAACTTCACTAGACTAAAGTCATGTCCGTTGTTTGGTACAAGTATGAAGTGGACTACATTGGACTTCAAATTAAAATTAATTTTAATATTTATTAGATTATTTAATATCATAAATAATTAAATTTAAAAAAAAAACATGTACACAAAATTAAAAATAAGAAAGCACACGAAGATACCATAAAATTTGTCCAAAAATTCACAAAATTAATAATAACCACGGAAATTCTTTTAAGTGCATTCAAATGATTAACAAATACTTATCTCGGAAACAAACTCCTAATACTCCAGAAACCCTATGAATATATATATATATATATATATATAAAATTACCCAATTGCCCATATTCCAATTTGATGAGTAGATATCCGTGAAGGCAAAGAAGGTGGAGAAAGCTATGAATGAGGCTGGACCTATGTCCATTTTAATTGATATATCCAGTCCAGTCCATCCCACCAAACCTAAAGGCCCTGTTTGGTGGGCCGAATTGGACAAGACTGGTTGGACTTGGAGTGTTGGACTGGGTTGACTAGGACTAAACCAGACTTTGAGTATGTGTTTGGTGCTTTACTTAACTTTGGACTGGACTGGACTTAAGTTCAGTGCACTGTTTGGTAAGACTGGACTAGACTGGACTGGACCTAAAAAAAATAAATAAAAAATAAAAAATTTAGTGCTTATTAAATTATTTAATATAAAAAATAATTAATTAAAAAAATGCACATAATTAAAATTGAGAAAGCCCCATCACATACTACTTCTAAAATAGGTCAAAACATATCCAAATTTAACAAAGCAATTAAAATACCAATTTGGCTTTTGCCCATCAAAATACAAGTAGTCCAAAATATAACAATGTAAAAACTCAAAACTACATTTCAACCACGAGATCTATGATCTCTAAGCAGTGTCGTCACATACTCGTACCTATCATCACCCTCATCTAATGTCTTGAACACATTCACTTTTGCCGAATTAGTAAATAAAGTAAGTAAAGAGATTCTATCTGAAATAGAAAATTTCGTCTTTTTTAACTCATCTCCAACAAATTTATGATCATCATCTGCATTATGCTCCTTTAAGCTCTCAACCAACCTTTGCACTTTGGTGTCAGAGTTTTCCATCATATTCTCAAATGCATTGGCAATTCTTCCCAAACCAAAAACCATTTTATTTCCTTGTCTTACCCTTTTGTTTCTTGATCATGATGATTAGGATTGAGCTTGAGTTTGAGTTTGATCAGTATGATAGCTCCCATCCAACTATACATCAAGAATGTTACTCTCAGATGCTTCATCATCATCATTTAGAACCATCTCAGCATGAGCTAAAGCAGAATTTCCGGTTGCACGATCCTGGCCAAATACTTTTCAAAGCCTATCAAACTTTGTAAAAGATTTATCTCTCCACCCAATCGCATCACTGTTCTACAATAATAATAAATAAATAAACTAACATTTGTTAATCCAACCAAAACATAAACTAAATTAGAAAAAACATCAAGGCCTATTGTATAAAGCCCCACACCTGCTAAATATGTAGTTAAATTGAGAATAATATCGATGTTGCTAATAGTGGATCAAGGGTCTATCCCTCTGAAATCTTAGCATGGTATCTGAGGTATTAGAGCATCCCCTATTTTCTATGTACAACCCCACAATGATAGTCAAAGTCGTTATTGACGGTGGTGACTTGACCTCTTTGCTGTGTTATTGCTTGGAGCTTGATGGGATGTTGCTGGGAAACTCCAAGCTAGTTTACCGAAGTAAGCACGACAAGAGAGAAAAAAATATGAAAATTGACAAAACGAAGGGGACCGTCAATGTTGCCTTTTTCTTCCCACAATTAGTTCACTGATGGTACATCATCCCCCAATAAGGGTTGATTAGGCGCATAATTAAGATCGTTGACTTTGAGTTGACTGACTTAAACAAGACGTCAACAAGGAGTTTAGTGGAGCAAACACTACTACAAAAAGTGACAAAGACGACCAGTAAAAAACGACGGTCTAAGTGAAAACCGTCGTCGTTTTTTAAAAGATGACGGTTCTATAAAACCGCCGTGTAATAACACCTTAGACACCTAAAAAATGGAGATTCAAATGGTTGTTCATAAACAACGACGTACCTAATTAAAAAACCGACGT